GTGAGATTAATAGAAATTTGCTTTTTTTAAAAACAAGCATAAGGCATGATGGTTTAAAATTATTACGGTGAAGCTTATACTTACACATTTTTATTGACAAAAAAAATGCAGATAATATAATACAAAACAAGTATATTTAGAAATCGTATAAATAAGATGATATTCAATTGATAATGATACTTATGATAATGTTTTACAAGGAACACAAACCAGGAACAATTCAAAAAACGTTTTCATAGTTAGATTAAGTTTCTGCTCTGTGTGTCAAACATTATGATCAAAACTATCGTTCAATTTAAGATCTGAATATCTAGCTATGCGATATTTGTCATTATTTTATGTAGGGAATGAAGTCTGGGAGACACTTTAATGTTCACATGCCAATTGTTAAAGTGACCTTACAGTTTCATCGGGTAATAACTACCTTGTTTTATCTAAGGCCCCGGAGGGCAGTTCAGAATAATGTAAGGTGTGAACACACATAATTGGGAGAGATTGCATTGCTTAGAGCGTTGCTCAGGATATAAATATTTCTTATTGTCTTACACCAGTGTTTAAGGAAGAAGAACAAGCATTAATTAATATAAGCTTCAGAGTAGTTTTACATTATTTTTTAGATCTACCCTTTTATTACAACTAAGCTAATTGGGAAATAGTACACAACACTATGAGCCTCATATAAAAACAGTGATCGATCAGTCAGAACGCAATTATTTACTCGTCCTTTGCCTGTTGTGGGCTGGCGCTATTTGATATATTACAATGTACAGAAAACTGTTAGTATAGAGCGTTTTGTAAAACAATTCCGCTCATGTATGCGGGCACTATAAGTTTTTGTCGGACCATTGGCGTCATTATGAATATTGTATTATTTAAAGGCTCGCTGACACTTATATTGGTAAGGACTGTAAAGTATAAAATTTAATATATTGAATTGTGTATGCTAAGTTATTGTTAGGTGTACCATATTTATTATGTATCTTCTTCGTCTGCAAAAACCTGAAGGTTTTTTGTTTAGGATTCAATATGATTTAAGGACCTACATAATTAAATAACGTGTATCAAAATAATATTATTGTCTGTGCTCACCTTCATACAAATACTTATAATTAATATGTATGAAGTACAAGTCAATATTATGTGTGTTGAGGACTGACACGTTAAATCAATGTTTGCAAAATAAAACATAATGAATTTATTTGCAACAATACTGATATCCCGATAGAATCTTTTAATACGGTTTCACGTTTAATTAATTAATTTTATGTTGTATGTAACACAACAGAGTTGAAAGATTATATGGTCAAGGTGACACTAAAGGGTAAAATAACAGCAATGAGAAAGAATTGTCCCGTTCAAAACTTTGTCATACTTCAAAAGAAATGAAATATTTTTGCACGATTTTGTAGCATAATAGACCTTTCTATCTTAAACGAACTTCATAAACGGACTTCGTTATACGGAATAAATTGGGGGATTTTCTCAAAACATAAAATTAATGATAAAAAGATCAATAGGTTACAATTGTAATACAGCTGCGGTTTTTGACATGTATATGATAGCTATAGTATTTCTATAAACCATAAACACATTAAAAATGGAGACAATATAACTATAAATTATGTTAAGACCAAAAAGAGAACAAACAAACAAAACAACAACAACAAATAAATACACATTTCTTCATTGTAGTGTTAATTTTTCAACAAATGCCCAAGAAGCGATTTTTTCAAGGTATACTAGTAAGTATGGTAAATGGTGTGAATGCAGGATTAACGTAAATGTTATCACTACTGTCACTGCTGACCCCAAGTTCATGTGTATAATATGTGGTTACGCGTCAGTGGGAATGGCACAAATGCCCGAGCGTCAGAATTATACAAACGTCGCCATTTGAATTCACAATAACTTGTGTGTTGATAGCGTGGAAGTGACAGTATCCATAATAGAATTGTTCTTGTGGCTTATCCATTAGTCGAAATATTTCGTTTGCTATTCCATCCATTGCACCACCTGCGGGATACAGTTTATCCTAGCCGCCACGTTTACTATGCCACTGATCTATGGTTGACCAAGTGATAGAATTCGCAAATGTAGTGTTAAAAGTAATTGTTATTGTGCGATTTTCAACATGTTCCTACGTGGCACACACATTGAATAGGTGACAAGTGTTACAATACAACATCGGTTCCATATCACAAACAATAAAATTGTGTTTACTGGAGACAGTTTGTGGCGACTATAATTTCTAAGTTTATGATATGTAACATATCTGCTTATGTTTCTCATGTTTTACCATAAGGTTATAGAAATAGACAATTTGGAAAAACTTTTCTTTCGGAATCTAGTACAGAGTCTAGAGGTGGCATCATTACAACAACATTACGTGCACGGTTGATATTCTGAAGCATCTGGCGGGGATTGAACTAAAGCTGGAAGTTACTTAACACCGATAGGGCCATTTCAACTTCATAAAGACCCGATTTCATCTTCATGAATTAACAGTTTAAACTTTGTGAATTCCAGTTTTCAACATACGGAATTCACGAATTCACGACTTCAAATATAAGAAGCCTTCCTTTTTCAACTGCTAGGGGTCTCAACATGATTTTTATTTAAGCAACGTTTGCACTTGTATTTGTAAAGAATGACCTAAGTTAAGTAGGACCTTTACATAGAAGGCAGTGATAAATGCAAGCTAATAACCACACCATCAGGGCAAGAGTATTAATATGTGCTACCGGCTAAAACAATCGGAACATATTATATGCATTATTGAAGGCCCGGTGGTTATCTGAGAATAATATATTTGGTGCAAAAATATTGCTGTGGCCTAATTTTTGCTCCTAACAAATTATCGTTCTTTTTTTTCAGTCATACTGAATTTACAAGATACTATTTATAATATACCGACATTACAAAAAGTTCACACAAAAGCTTTTTATTTTTTGCCCCTGTATCGTGCTGGAATGAATTGCAACTTCGACCTTTCACATGCCATTGAGTCTGTTGTGCGTTTCTACACTTAAACACTTTAATCATGTCAACCTTTACAGCACATGTATTTAATCTTATTTACGATGAAAAGTGTTGACAATATATCGACGTATGATGTAAACAATACTTTAGCAAATTCTAATCGGCACTAAAACATTCGTGTAAGTGAATAATTTAGCGTTGAAAGATAAATATTAACATCATAGAGTTACTTTAAAGAAATATAACAGAAAATGTTAATTGCAATCATAGAATTGTTATATCATATCACTGTACAGTACATGAAACTGAAACTACATTAATTTTGTTTAAGTGTACATGTTCATTGTGTACACATAAACACATGTCTTATGTCAAATGTAAATTACACAATTATTGTCGTTAATACGTTTTGAATGAGCAACAGTAAAATTTAAAATATAGACATTGTTCTAAATATTTATGATGTTTTTGTTTGAAATACATTTAACATTTTTTCTCACTCGACATAATAAACATCAGAAACTTCAAATGTGAGAAAGGTGCTTTCTCAGTAAATTACAAATATGGAAATTTGCGGCGTTGTTTCTTTCTCTTTTTTGAAGAGAAAGCTTATAACACTGAAACGCTTCCATTGGTATGTTCTCCTGTTTAATGAACACCGACCTTGAAAAGATGTTAAGCCAGTCTTATATTCTGTTTTGCTTGCTTAAAAAATTTTTCAAAGGGCCGATTGGGTAGCCGAGAATATTATATGTTTGGTGAAAAGATGATGGTCTAAAACTTTGTCCTAACAAATTATTGTAGTTTTGAGTCATACTCGAGTAACTACAGAATTCACACGGTTTATATTAAATACCTTTATGAATTAAGCTTCAAATATCAAAATCAAATCATGTTGAGTTCTGTTAAAAACATTAATTTGATAAAAGAAAATGTAATTTTGTTTTCTTATAACAATATAGTGGATTTTTCACAAGACAGTGATGCGACTTATCTTTAATAAGCAACGTTGGTTTCTTTGCTCCATTTCATTGGTCATCATGAAAAACGGTTGTCAAACATAACATTTAACAATGTGTCAGGAGAGTCCGATCGGCAATTTACAGTTCGTGTAAGTGAATCGACTTGTATTGTTATTCATAAAATATAACAAAAAAATATAAATTGCAATGATAGATTTGCTAAAATCATATAACTGTTCAGTAAATAGAAATGCATTTAATAAAGGTTATATGATCATAGGGTACATATAAACAAACTCCGTTGACAAATGCAAATTGCAAAATTGTTATTAATGTCTTTTGAATGAAAAACACAGGAACTTAAAATATACAATATACATATACAAAATATCGATGATGTCTACGTTTGAAATGCCTTCAGCTTTTTCTTTGGCATAATAGGCATCACATAGCATTTAATTATGAGAGACTTGCTTTCTCAGTAAATTACAAATGTGGAAATTTGCGGCGTTGTTCCGTTCTCTTTGTTGAAGAGAAAGCATATAACACCTCATCGCTTCCATTGGTTTGTTCTCCTTTTCCATACATTGACCAATAAGGTTTAGAGCTGTCTCCTTGTGACCAAAGTTTTTACCAAACACGGTAGCATTAACAAGGTAACAAAGTGCTCGTTGTTGATCCTGGTGTCTTTGTAGATGTCCGTATGTCTTGTACTGTAAAAAGTAGAGAAAAGGAAGAGAATCAACTACTGCATAGTCCATCCAAAGTTTATCCGTTTCATCTCTTTGTTGCATGTCATCTTGTGTAGATCTCATCATTTCATATTGTAACTCTCGAGGAACACAGTTGATTTCCGTTTTCATGAATCTGACACAAAATGATGTGATCTGATTGATGCAAGCTTCCTTTAGTTCGCAACAATTTCTCTTAAATTCTGCAGACCGATCAGACAACGGTTGAGACCAGCAACTACATACATGTTCAACAATATCACAGTTGTATCGATTTTCAGTTTGTTTCAGAATGAACTCCGCTTTATCCATATCACCTATACAATACAAAACTGAAGCTAGTTTAAGTCTGCCGGATATGAAATCCGAGCAGCTTAAACCCAGTGAGAGCCACTTTAGTGCTTGATATTGAACTGCAGTATTCTATTGAATATTTGATGACGCCATTATAGTTCCAAGGGTAGAATAAAGAAACGGGACAAGACAGCGGCATGCAAGCTGCTCTAGTCTGGATCCTTGTACACAATAGCTTGCTAGCTTGAAGATACATTGTTTGAGATTGACTTCATTATTTGCCAAGAAATCTAAAATTGATAATTCACCATTGCTAATAGTTCGTGCTAAGTTAATGGATAACAAGCCCGAAATGGTTTCATTTATATCACGAGGAGTTAACATACCATCAGGTATTGTACGATCTGTGTGAAGTTTGACCTGTAGCCGATTACCAATATCATCAATAGTTATTCGAAGCAAACATCTACCATCACTCTGTATTATATCACTTATCTTTTGTAAAATGTTAAGCTTCTCTTCTGCAGTAAATTCTCCGGCCATTAGGTTGTTTTCCGGAATTGTAAAATGCGGGCAATTTTCATTTCGAATATAGCTTTGCAGTTCAAGTAAGCAATATATTAAACATGTGAAAAGATTATTCTTTTTCCAAATGTTTCGGTCGGTGTTTTGTATACAGTGTAATACTACAGTTTTACACATATAACTAGACAAAACGCATTCTCCTTGACGTGTTAGAAAAGTTTTCAAAATAATTTTCATCAAAACATAACAATGATATTGTGTTATGTTTAGATTAAACATAAAGCATCTTTCCCCTAATGATGTCGATATTCTCCATTCTAGTTCCGGGTAAGTACTAATCTTACTGCTAGCACCAACAACAAAACAGCCATTACTAACAGCATATCTGATCATTTCAGATGTTGGCCACCTCCCTATGCTTTGTCTGTGTAGTAAATGTGAAACTGAAAGTAGCAATGAATTACAAGGTAAACCAAAAACTATATCAATGTCACTGTATCCTTCTTTCCCGGGCACAGCATTCGATGGACCGTGTCTCTCCGCATCTTCAAGCAAGCCATGATAATATGAATTTTTCAATAATATCCTCCTTCTATTATCTCTGATAAAATCTTTATAAGGAATGTTTGTCTCAAAGAGAGGCTCATTTGATCGAAGTAGTTGTAGGAAACAATATCCAGGTGTTACATTCTCATCCTGTATCATAAGAAAATTGATCTTATTCTGTTTCCACTCTGACCAGTCCTGTATTACATTAATATCATAATTAACATTCAGTATGTCAGTATCTGAATCGAGTCCTGCAGTAGTTGTGCCTTCAGATTGACTCCCAAAGTTATATACAGTGTAGTTAACATCTATTGACCTGTATGTCACAGTTTGAATATTCTCTTGCAGCATATTTACTTTTCTTCTTTTCATCACCATTATTTCATTGACACCAACATCCTCTAATACCTCAGATAACTTCAGTGACAATATATTACTATATTCAGGTGATTGAAACATTCTGCAAGGATAATAAAAAAATATCTAAATTAGAGAAATTACACTCCATTAGATATTGTTGTGTAAATTACAGATATAACTAAATTTTTGTTGTTGTTTTAATTGATGAAACTAGAATGATATTTTGTTTTATTGAAATATTCATATGGAAAATATATAAATCTATGTTCTTTTATAAAAAAAAACAACACTAGGATTGAATTTTGGATTATTAAGATATTTAACAAGAAAGACTTGTGTAACAACATCACACTGGTTAAGAATAAATCACATGTTCAGCATTTCTTACAATGTTTTCATAAATTAATAAAGTAATGATTTTCGTATTGAAATAAAATACTTCTTCCTCATGTATCTTTATATTTGAAAATTATGCTGTTTCCTTACTATGAAGCGTGCTTATAAAAGGCATACTGATTGTACCATAGTACTGTTAAAAATGACAAGAGCCTATACCTAGCGAGGACTACGCTCGACACTTAAGAGGAAGACTATAGCAGGAAGAATATTGTAGTAAAGAGCACTCCAACAAAACAGTATTATTTGTAACAATATCAATTTCAATTTTATATTTGACCTTGACGGTGAATTCATTCAATAAGAAATAACAAAGTAATGACAATTTAAGCAAAATTAAATATGTCGGCTTTATCATGCGTTCTTTTGTATAAGTATGGATCAGATTGTAAATAAATGACAATTGAGGCAAATTTCAATAATTTGACCTTGACGGTAACGGTCAAATAAAGGATAAGGTCAGAATTTTTAACATGTTGGTTATGTCATATGTTGGTTTTGTCATATGTACTCTTTAGTCCAAGTATGAATCAAATTTGTAAGTTAAGACAATTTAAGCAAATTTCATTAATTTGATCTTAACGGTCAAGGTCAATTAAAGGACAAGTCTTATCAGAAAAAAATGTAACATTTCGGTGTTGTTGTTTTTTTTTTTTTTTTTTTTTTTTTTTTTTTTTTCATATGACATTGTGTTCTTTTTCTAATTCGACCTATTTAATTTTGTAAATGCCAGCTTATGAAAACTAACAAATTTAGTTTAATTTAACGTTATTTTTTTTAATCGTTCTTTGCTAAAAAAAAATGATTCAATTCACGTCATCAACAGGTAGATTGGGCGGAGTCAAACGCAAATATCGAAACCATGTATGGAAAGAATCTCTCGCTGCGTAAACTATTACGTAAAAAGGCCCTGAAAAATATTGTGTATTTCGGTAATCTGCTCAACCAAGAGAAACCCTTCTGACCTAAGGTTTCTGTGAAGTCCTCTTCGTACAAACGGGAGAAAAAATAAATGATAGAATCCTACCAAACACCATTTAAGATTTAACATTTGATGACGTTTCATCTTGAAGTTAGCATAAAAATTTAAAAGATAAAGCAAGAATAAACTAATACACTAGCGAGTTACGTTCACAATATATTGACACGTTATTATTTAGCTAGACGGTTAGAGTGTTATATCAAATTCCGCGCCTGACCAATTAAAGTTTGTTAATATACTAATAAACTTTAACTTATACTCAAAACATTAATATTTTAAAAAGTCACATTAACGTTTATTTCCTCATGTAATTCAGAAAAGAACGTAATCATTGGAAAGTACAATATGAAATAATTAATGCATATAATAATTCAGTGTCTCATTAAGAATTTATCATTGTAAACTTATATCATTCGGAATATTTAAAAATAACTGTTGAACTTTTCTTATAGTATGGTTTTATACTAAGGTAATTTAAAGTCAAAACAAATAATTAAAAAATACTGTTTTTATTTGAACTCTGTCTTTCGATTTGTATACCTTGGGAACGTAACTCTTTAAGTAATTATTGACTACTTCACTTACTAATTAAGCCTTTGAATGTGTATTCAAACAAAACAATAAAAAAATTAACACTTAAATAACATTTTTTCTATTTGAAGCTATTTAGCTTTTTTAATTAATTTTTTTATTATCATTTATTTATTTTTGATAATTTGAAAAATAAATTTAATGTAGATATATGTGACAATGTGCAGACGTTCAGATATACGAACCTTGGGTATTTAAAGGCGTATGCTGCAATAACTCACTTATGTCATTGTCCAGTGTGGCTGATTAGAAAATTATCAGCATATGCATTGAATTTAAAACATCTGAATTATCATTAAGTTTATCAAAAATACAGGTGAAATAAAATATCCGAACCAGTTAGTGTTCTGTTAATAAACCTCGCAAAGTCTCCCAAAATAAACGCAATAGATAACACTTATATTATTCTAAAAATCGGAATATTTAAACCGATTATTTTAAAACTAAAGTTTCTCTTTAGATTATTCTATGTTATTTTCTCTGTTTACAATTTAGCTTCCTCATCCTATCTACATGTTTTTTCATAAAATGTATTTGGACCCCTGTTAATTGCATTTTTGCTGATATTGTGTAGTGTTCACGTGGCTGTGCACATGCGCGTTTTGTGTACATGTATGGACAATGTTACGAACCGCCACCCTACACAGCAACAGCTAACGATGAAATTTTAAGTCAGTTTAAATGCCCTTGTATGTGGAGGATATTTCGATTAGTGGCAACAACTCAACATCATTCGGAATAGTTTTGTAAATAACTTCAAACAATAGAAAGTTACGTGACCATAATTACTGATTTAATAAAATTAATGGTTTTCAAATGCGTGCTTATCTAAATAAGTCATAATAATACATATAATTACAATCAAAAACGTCAAAAATTTAGCCTTAAAAAACTTTCCAATTAGCCCATAAATTGATGAGGAACAATTTTATTTAACGGGAATTGTAAAAGGCAAAAACAATATACAGCCTTCTTAAGTTCAAGAGAATTATTTTATTATTCTTAAAGCTACATTAAATGAATTTCTTAAAAACAGAAATAGCGACATTTCATTAGTAAATTTGGTTTCATATCGACTCCAGATCTTATTATGGTGTAAAGGCAACCAAAATGAGTTTTATAAGCATAAACATCTGCGACCTCATTGCGGCGAAATCGGAATTTGCATGAGAAACTCCGCCTTCGGGTCATCCGTACATCAATATTAAATCAACAAACATTGCTATAAGTAGCAGTCCTAATATAACGGTATATTTACGCATTGTAACGGTTGTTTTCATACAAATTTAATATTCTTATGAGATGATTACTCTTTCCTGAACGCCGTGCCAAGTGCACCGTGAAGCTAAAACGGTTAAAGTGTGTATGCACATGAAAATCTCGTATTTGCTGTGTTCTGTATAGCAACTATAACACTGTGACGTAGCACATACATGAACTGATTAAAGTCTTCATTTGCATGTTAAAATTCGTATACGAACTTTAGTGTTACCGTGGGGTTTTCCGTTTAAAAACGTAATTTATGAACAATATTTGATGAGATTTACACACAATACTGTTAAAAAGGTTAATAAAACAGTAGAATGCTTGGTTATTAGGCCGACGGCAAAATATTTTTACATTTTTATTTAATGTAACTTTAACTTATTTTTAATCGTTTCTGTAGTACTAGTATATTTCTTTTCTTAACAAATTGTGTGCACAATCACCGTTGTCAAAACAAAAACATAAACATTCCTTTTTCTATTCCCTGTTTTGATTTTAATAACTAGAAAAGTAACTCTTTAAAATATAATTGATATCTTTTCCCAATTATTCAGTTCCTAGGATTTACTAATACAATTCCTAAAATATCTATAATATTTTTATGAACAATGCAAGTTGATGAATTCTGACTATTGTGAAGTCATTAGTTGAATTGCGACAATTAATTAAAATCTTTGTCCAATCAATATTTTTAGACGCATGAACTTTGCAGATCTTAATCGGAACGTTACCCATGGCATTTCAATGACCCCTATTTCTTTGAGGTGATTTGGTAAAAGTCAAGACCACAGCGATACTTAGTATAAAATCCTTGTCCGAACAGCATCTCGAGAAAGAATTGTTATACATTACTTTTTATGAACATTGTTGGGATTTGGATTATTGCAAGTTGATCATTGACGTTGATTTTGATAGAATAATGATAGAAAATGCCTCAGAACATTTTTAGTAAATCATTGTTGACCTAAATAATTAATATTACTGACGCGAATATTAGTCATGTTTATCTAACATTCTAACATTCAGATTATGAAATCAAGATATCATTACTTTTCAACCTTTGCACCTAAGAATTTTGATAATCTAAAAATCTGGATACAAAGTGATCCCTCGGAAGCATTAATCACAACAAAATTACAAGAGAACTCCGGACTCGGTTTGATTGTGTCTGTACATGAGGGATTATGAATACGTGCAACATCCCTCACGCCCCTAGCACCGGCTTGAGCGGTACTCAATTCTCAACACTTAATATAGCTGGCATCAATGACCCCGAAGGACCAGAAAAATATAATAAAAGTGAAGTGAATTACGGGGCAACTTTTTAGTTTTTTACAGCTGCAACATAGCACTTGACACCTGTTGTTGTTAAGTATAAAAATCTTTTTTATTAGAACTACCAATCTACCCGACTCAATATCCCCGTAAAGTCATTTATCATCATTTGTTTCATGTCCTTCTTTTTTGCTTTCAGGCAGAATAATAATCTAATGTTGCCCAATAGACTAGTGATAACCAAGATGTAGAATGATTTGAAAAACACGTCATGTGTCTTTTTCTGTTTGTTGTCAAAATAATATAATAAGATAAAATTTGAATTCCGTTTTTTTTAAATGTCCTGTCAATGTTTCAAATTTGAAAATTGTATATGAGGGTATTTTTGAAGTTTTAATTCAAAACAATGTGTCTACGATATTTTGCATGTTCAATCTAGATTTGTTGCTATAATCATAATTTCTTTTAAACTTGCTTACGAAGAAAAACTTATTTATTTGAAATACTTTTGAAACGCATAAATATATAAAATGAACATCAGTAAAGGTTCCGATTTTAAATTAAAAGAGATAAATACAGTAGTACTTCGGTAAGTAGAATTTAAAGGGACTTGCGAAAAAACTTCGACACATCGTGACTTCGACTCAAGAATTGCTCTAAATTCCATGACAAAATTTCGACTTGTAACTAGTCCTAATTATAAGATCTATAACGAAACCTATTTCATGTTTTTCCATCATTAGTCTGATATTTTACATTTTACAATAATAAATATAGTGTGTTAAATAACTTTTCACGGCTAATTAATTGGACTACCCGTTGACAACTATACAATAGAGTTACAAAAGGCGTAACAATACGAAAGGGCGATAACTAGACCAGGGTATAGTAAATATTTCGCGTGTTATTCTCACGCGACACCGTGTCACAGATGTTTTCAAATGAAAGTAGTTCTTACTGTTTACTTTCAAATACCATTACGGCAATTAGAATAGTAACGATTAAAGCATTTTATCACACATTTTATTGCAAACAAAGGCTGTTTGAACACACGGCTGTGTAATTAACACCTGTCACACAAGGTGATTGGAAATCGTATTCGCAGCCAGAAAAGGTGTGAAAAATGTCTCGAGATCGAAGGTGTCAAATAATCGAACGACTTCGACTTATTTGTGGTAAATTGAACTAGATTTACTTTATATGGACCATAAAAACACTTCGACACATCGGAAAATTCGACACATAAAATCTCGACTCATCAAGAGGTTTATATAAGTTATATATAGGGGGGCAACTCGGGAATTTCATTTTTCTTCGACACATCGAGAAAATCGACTAATCGTAGTTCGACTCATAGAATTTCTACTGTATAAAAATTAAAACAATTTTTTTTCATTATGCCGCATTAAAACACTATTATATAGTTTATGGCAAAGCAGGCATTTTACACAGTATAAATCAAAAAAGCATATACATGTTCTTATAACGATATGAAGTCACTTATTATTATCGAGTTTCACGTTATATATAGCAGGAAGAATATTTGTGAAACTTATCCTTTAAAAAACGCAAAAGACAGTTTTCTGAAAAAAGTGTGGATTTTTTTCCAACGGTATATTGTTAAGACCTGTGTTATATTACTGTCGCAATTACTGTAGCCCTGATAAATACGTTACAATGTCACGTAAATGATAATTAATTTTACAAAAATGATAGTCTACATAAACTAATATAAACATGAATCAAATTATAATTATTCATTAAGATACATGTATATTTAACTTTTCTTTGAACTATTTTTGTGGCATGCAAATAGTAATTACTTTGTTCTTCCGATAAAGTCATTGCATCCGATTTGTTATCATCAATCTTAAAATTTTCTTTTTAACATTCTTTCTCTTTTGATCTCGAAACTAACAACAGAGAAAACGTTCAATAAAAATAAATAGTTTACTTGACACTCAGGCAAATTAATGACAAAAATATCAAAATGATCTTATGTACTCAAATCACAGTAATTAATGATATTTCTTTAAGTCCCAGCTTGAATCTGTATGAGTTCTATATATGTTGGGGTCGAAGCATATATCTATACATGTTGAACGAAATTTAGACGCCCACAGAATCACCAAGTAGTTTTGAAACAGGTCATGCTCATGTGACTCGAGCAAAGTCTAACAAGTCTAAGTCATTCACATGACATGTTCTTTAAAGTTTCAAGAGTTCACAGTGAAAACTATTGCGAAATCTTAACGCTCTAACCCAACACACGTTGGTCAAGATAGGAAACCACCATTTTAATTTCAAGAGAAAAATTATGTTCCTGTGACTATCTACTGTATTCATTTTGAGGATATTTACAGAATAATGAATGAAAATTTCAAAACAAAGAAATGAAATTTGTGCATGTGTCTCCCATTAGTCCATAGTTTTTGACCGATGTTTCGTTATGGCAATATTTACCCCAAAAATATAATATCCCGTTCTTTGAAGAAACATCAAATTATTCCAATCACATATTGCGATAAAACAGTAATCCAAGAACAACTGATTTTTATCAGTTTAACCCTTTACCCCATGAGCATGTTGCGAAAAATGGCCGTTTTCATTGAAAAGCCTCCTGTAACAAGTTCAAACTGCTATGAAACTATGAAAAATGCTTCAATACTGATGAAACTTGGCACAAATGTTGACTAGACCATAGCCTCTGTAACAGCATGCTCAATTGTAAATTTCCTGTTACCATGGCAACGGGGGGGGGGGGGCGTCTCAAAATTGCCAAAACTCTCTATTTTGCATTGTTTTTTCCATCAAAACTGATTTCAAAGTGCTGCAACGTCTCAATGAATTGAGATAGTGTAAAAGGCATTTCAGCGTCGATTACTAGTTACCCTAAGATCGACCTGAGGCCATTTTTAGCCTGTCACATGTCCAAAATTTTCTTGGCGATTAGGGGGACTGCCGTCCCCCTTTAACCCCCCCCCCCCCAAACAGAAGGGGGCACATTCCCCTTCTGGCAACCCCCTGATGTTACATTTGGATGGGGGACGGCGCCGAAAAATGTGTCACTTTTTTAACAACATTTCTCAAACGAAAAAAAGTGTTTTGGGCCTAAATAGGGCATATTTTCAGTTTGAGGCCTGAAAAAAGGGGGGCAAAAAGCCGTCGAAACACGCTTATATAAGGGAAAAGGTTAAAACAACACTGATATGATAAACGTACAAATATACAAACAATTTACCAGACCCAATTTATCTTAATTTGGCAGTTTCATTCAATGATTTTTACAAAAGTTTTCTTTACCCATACAGATTGGTAGCTTTTTCAACAATTTTGTTTGTTTCCAATAACATTTTGTTTTCTATACGTTGGCTATTTTGGACAATTAGTAGCATACGCCCACTTATAACTTTAAACTATACAATCAAGAAAATCTTAACCTGCAATTATGTTTGCTTTTGATAACTTCACATAGTATTTTCAAAAACTTAGTCATTTCGAATTTTCAGCAACATATAAAAAGGCGACAGAAGTGAAATATTTTCAAAAGAATGCGTTACCCGGAGGATTCAAAACACAATAAAAGTACTAAATCATACCGAGTTTGCTTTATACGCTTCTTATAATGTAAATGTAGGAAATTGTCATTTACTTTTAATTTCTTATATTAAATGATATAAAAAATGTTACTTACTTCGTATTACTTTTGTAAGGTCAATAAGATGACAGAGCAGAATTGTTTAAGAAGACTTAACACAAATCATGAATTTCGAATTTGCAATTCCTCTTTCGATTTCCAAATAAATAAAACTAGGCTATCAGTTCAATCATGTGATGTTATACATGTTATAAATAAGCCGGCTAATCATCTAGTAGTCTGATTTCTGATATCTGTTTGATAACGTGAAAGTTACGTTTCAATTTATGTGTACACAAAAGTTAACAACTCTCAACTGAAAGATTATTATACGTCTAACATAATCAAATATAACAATAAATTTGAACTTAATGTTAAATGGCAGGGTGGTAAACTTGGTAAACTAGTCGTGATTTCATGCTTTCAAATATTTTGACACAAGTTCGAGTTCCACATATTGTGTAAATTTTATATTAAAATTTTACATCTGACGTATAGTGTCATACATTAGTATGTTTGTTTCATTGTCTATATATTAAAAGTATATACGTAACAATTAAACTGGTTAATATCATGAATTACTGCCCTGCCTAGTAAAGTGCACAAGAATTTCGTGCCAACTGATCTAAAGTTAATGCAATGCGAGTAAATATATGCACTTCGTTTAGTAATTACCTGTAATTGGTCGCACTTATTTGTAAGATATGACTGAAAATACTTTTGATAAAAAACATAACAAAGAAAAGCTAAGAAAATTATTCATCGTGAAAAAATGACTGCAATTAAATGATTTCTTTTTATACAACAGCATGAGGAATAAAATAATTAAAAAGAAATATGAAACAAGGAAATCTAAAAATAAATACAAAATAAATTTATAAAATTGACAATTTCATTTTCACTAGGAATATAACAGATATAAACATCTTTATCAACTACGTCACGGCGACAGTTTGTATAAATAATCGATCTTAGTAAATTTTATCACTGGCCTGCTTGACTGGTGATAAAGTTTTAAAATATGATAACGGTTTTACATCGTAATAGTGGATCTAGCCGCCGCATCACTCTATAATTATCCTAATTGAGCAGTATATACCCGAATGTTATACATGACTAGTGATACACAAAATTAATTCAATACTTCAATGCATGGTAACATTAATCTAAATAACTTATATAAAGCATAGCTTGATGCTGCGATATAGTTAAGAACCTTTGTAGCTCTGAGTCAAGTATTCAATATTAAGGTACTCTTGAATAACAAACTTATTTGGTAACGGAATGCTGCATATATATTTTCTTTATGATTCTATTTTTGTGTTTGCATATACCAGTGTCAGCAGGATAGAAAGCAACTGGATAGAAATCAATAGAGATGTTAATTTTCACATCTTTTTTCATTCGCCTTAAAAAATTTCCCTTTTCAGGTTTTAAAAATACATAGGAATGAAAATATACAGGTTTAATAATGTATGGTAAAACATTCATGTCAACTTAAAATAATTTAACCATAACGAACAACAGAGGCTCAAATGGAAGAGATGTTTATTCGCGATCACAGTTTTCATAAGATTGTATGTCTCTGAATCATCACAATTTCCCGAGCCCCAAAGAAATCTACAGGTATCCTTAAAAAGTTATTCTTTTTCAACATATTTTTACCCAACTTTTGCACTCGTATTTGAAAACGTTCAAAAATGACCGACCAAGAAGGTAAAATTAAGTAGGACATGCACACAGACGGCAGTGATTTGTCCTATTAATTTTGAAGCTTTCTACGAGTGAATGTAACTAATTCAAACATAAACTATTTTGACATAAATCTTAATATTTCATCAATGATTGTTTAAGCCATGTTTCAATAGAAAGTTATTTTTATGAACACCGATCCTGTAACAATGTTTAACCTGTTTAATAATTTATGTTGCTTGCTTAAATAATAGGAACATACATGTGCATTATTTGAGGCCCAATTCAAGTGAACACTATAAAATAAAATATTGGTGAAAAAATATTGTGCTGTCCTATTGTTTGTTCCTTACAAATTAATGAATTTTTTATTCATACTGGAGTTATAACTGCCTATACAAAACTTTCATAAAGTTGATTCAAAGGCACTTCATTTTATTAAGTCAATTATCAATAAAGCTTGAAACATCAAATTAAAAATCAAATATAGTTCTGTGTTTAATATTCATTTGAAAAAATATGTACTTATGTCAATTGGAATTATCTTCCACATGAATGAGATGAGACTAAACTTTAATACGCAACTGTTGCATAGTTGTCTTTGCTCCCATTTCGTCCTAAAATTGCTTGTCATGAATTGCATGTTGACCTTTCACATGTCATTGAGCCTGTTGTACGTTTCTACACCTTTACACTTAAACTATGTCAACTCAACATTTACAGTACATGTATTCATTAGGATTAATGTTATTTTTCGTCGTAAATTGTAAACAATGCATCGACGTATAATGTAAACAACGTGCCGATGTACAATGTAAACAATGCGTTGACGTATAATATAAACAGTGTGCCGACGTATGATGTAAACCATGCGTGAGCGGATTCAAATCGGCACTTAAAGTTCGTAATTTGCGTTAAAAGATAACTATTAATATCAAAATTTTGTTTTTAACGAATATAACATAAAATGTTTATTACATATAACTGTACATTAAATGAAACTACATTTATAGTCATTGTGTTCATATAAACACAAGTCTTATGGAAAATGTAAATTACAAAATGTAAATTACAAAATGTTGTTAATGCCTTTTGAATGAACAGCAATACAATTGAAAATATACATATTTTTTCTAAATATCTATGATGGCTTTGTTTGAAATATATTCAACATTTTTCACTCGGTATAATAAACATCAGAACTTTAAATGTGAGAGAGGTGCTTCCTCAGTAAATTACAAATATGGAATTTTGCGGCGTTGTTTCTTTCTCTTTGTTGAAGAGAAAGCAATAACACTGTATCGCTTCTATTAGTTTGTTCTCCTGTTCCATACATTGACCAACAAGGTTTAGAGCTGTCTCCCTGTGACCAAGGTTTTTTCCAAACACGGTGGTATTTATAAGGTTGCAGAGTGCTTGGCGTTGATCCTGGTGTCTTTGTAGACGTCCGTATTCCTTGTACTGTAAAAAATAGAGAAAATGGAGAGAATCAACCACTGCAAAGTCCATCTATCTTTTGTCCATAACACTTCTGTGTTGCATGTCATCTTGTGTAGATCTCATCATTTCATATTGTAATTCTCGAGGAACACAGTTCTCCATTTGCATGAATCTGATACAAAATGATGTGATGCGATTTATGCAATCTTCGTTCTGTCCGAGACAGTTTTTCTTAAATTCGGCAGATCGACCAGACGATGGATAAAACCAGCAAGCACATACAGGTTCAACAATATCACAGTTGTATCGATTTTCAGTTTGTTTCAGAATGAACTCCGCACTATTTATAAACCCTAAACAATACAACACTGAAGCTAGTTTAAGTCTGCCGATGTCACATCCGAGTTTTAACCCAGCGACAGCCACGTAAGTACTTGATTTTGAACTGTAGTATTATGTCGAATATTTGATGACACCATAATATATCCAATGTTTGAATAAAGACAACGGCTTGCAAGCTGTTCTAGTCTAGATCCATATACACTATAGTTTACTAGCTTTAGGATACATATTTTGAGATTGACTTTTTGTTTTGCCAACAAATCTAAAAATAGTAATTTACAATGGCTAATAGTTCCTGCAAAGTCATAAAATAACCAACTCGAAATGTTTGCATTAATGAGACGAGGAGTAAGCATTCCATGAGGTATCGCACGATCTGTATGAAATTTGACCTGTAGTCGATTACCATTGGCATCAATACTTATTTGAAGCAAACATCTACCATCACTCTGTATTATGTCACCTATCTTCCAAAAATGTCAAGCTTCTCTTCTGCAGTAAATTGTCCGGCCATAAGGTTGTTTTCCGGAATTATAAAATGCGGCAATTTTGATTTCGAATATAGCTTTGCAGTTCAAGCAAGCAATATGTTAAACATGTGAAAAGATTGTTCTTTTCCCAAATGTTTCCGTCGGTATTTTGTATACAGTGTAAAACTACAGTTTTGCACATATAACTAGACACAGCACATTCTCCTTCATCAAAACATAACAATGTAATTGTGTTATGTTTAGATTAAACATAAAGCATCTTTCTCCTAATGATGTCGATATTCTCCATTCTAATTCCGGTAATGTACTAATCTTACTGCTAGTACCCACTACAAAGCAACCATTACTTACAGCATATCTGATCATTTCAGATGTTGGCCATCTCCCTATGCTTTGTCTGTCTAGTGAATGTGAATATGAAAGTGGCAATAAATTACAAGGTAAACAACTATATCAATGTCACCGTACCTTTCTTCCCCGGGCACAGCATTCGATGGACCGTGTCTTTCAGCATCTTCACGCAAGCCAATCAAATATGATTTTTTCAATAATATCATCCCTTTATTATCTCTGATAAAATATTCACCAGGAATACTTGTCTCAAAGAGAGACTCATCAGATCGAAGTAGTTGTAGGAAACACTATCCAGGTGTTACATTCTCATCCTGTATCATAAGGAGATTGTTCTTATTCTGATTCCACTTTGACCAGTCCTGTATAACATTACAATCATAAAACACAAACATAGAGTCAGAATCTGAATCGAGTCCTATAGTAGTTGTGCCTTCAGACTCGTTCCAAAAGCAATAGTGAGTGATGTTATCACCCTTTGACCTTAATGACACAGCTTGAATATTCTCTTCCAGCATGCTTACTCTTCTTCTTTTCAGCACCATTTCTTCATTGACACCAACATCCTCTAATACCTCAGGTAACATCAGTGACAATGTGTTACTATATTCAGGTGATTGAAACATTCTGCAACGATAATGAATAGACAAAATTGAAAAGATTAGAGAAATAATACCTATTTACATATTGTTGTGTGAATAACACAAATCATATACCTAGAAACATGTTTTAATTATATGAAACGAGAATTATATTATGCGTCATTTTGATTCTTTACTGGAAAAGATGTTTTCTTTTATGATAAATGCATCGCTAGAAATTTGTTTTATTAAA